AGCGCGAAGCCGCCGCGCGGGATGGCCGGCGAGGGCAGCGTCGGGCCGTCCGAGGCCGGCGAGGTGGGCGAGTCCGGGGCCACCGTGCCGTTGCTGTGCTCGCTGCGCAGGGACGAGAGCGACGTGCGCAGCGGCGAGCGCACCACCACGGCCATCCCGTAGGGCACGCTCTGGCGCACGCCGTAGCCGTGGCGCATGCCGTTGGTGAACTGGCCTTGGTAAGTCCCTGCGGGCGAGGAGAGGGCGCGTCAGTGGGGCGGCACGACGGGGCCTGGGTGCACGGTGACCTGGGCGTGCCAGGGCTGGAGTGGGCCAGGCCATCCGAGGGGCAAGGAATTTGAAGTTATGAAAGTTGGGTGAGGCTCGGATTGGGTGAGGTTACCCAAGTGTGCAAGACAGAAGGGGTTTGAGCAATGTTGTGAATATTTCTGTTGGTGGGGACATGACAAGGTCACAAGTGTGCAAAATAGAGTAGGGTTGTGTGAGGCAGAGCATCAATGTGTGAAGTTGTGTGAGCAAGTGAGGCCCTGGGAGTGCATGAGGTTACACGACTGGGCAAGGACACAAGTGGACAAGCCAGAAGGAGTTTGCATGATGGTGTACTTCTGTTGGTGGGAACACACCAAGGTCTTTAGTGTGCAAAATAGGGTGAGGCTGAGTGAGTCAGTTTTAAAGTGTGAAGTTGTATATGAGCAGGTGAGGCTCCATGACCGTGAACTTAAATGAATGTGCACAGATTTTGAACCACACAAGAGAGAACGAATGTGCAAGAGCATGAGTGGGTAAGACAGTGAGTTTGTACAGTAACGTGAATATTTGCATTTGTGGGAGTGTGCAAGGTAGTGGGAACATGTAAAATCATGAGTGTGCAAGGCAGTGTGTGCACAGAGGGTGACTGAGATCACACGGGTGTGACAATGGGATGTAACATAAGGTTATGAGAGCATTTGAGGTCTTCAGTGTGCAAGGAAAGGCAAAACTGAGTGAGGGTACAAGACCTTGAGGGTCAAAGAGTGCCAAATTATGTGAGCAGGCAAGGTGCTATAAGGTTAAATCCTAGTGTACAACGTGAAGCTCATGAACAGATCAGTGAGTTTTCACAGTAGTGTGAATATTGGAGAGCATGGACTGTGTTGGAAAGCATGGGAGAGTGTGTATTTGTGCAAGGCCATGTGTATAGAGGACTTTTATGAGCATGCATGTCGGTGTCTTTGGACTATATGAGATCATGAGTGTGCAATGCAGTGTGAACACAGTGGGGAGAGTGCCCAAGGTCCTGTGGAGGCGACATTATGGATGTGTGAGAGGTTCTGAGTGTGCAAGGCCATCTGAGTGTTAAAGCACAAAGTAACATGAGGCACTCGAGGCTATATGAGTGTGTGAGGTTGAGGGCATTAGTGAAACAGAGCATGTAAGACCATGTGCATGCAGGATAGTGATGTGTACAAGGAGATGTCAACAATGAAGACCTCGCGTGTCCATGAGCGTGAACGCGTGAGCTCCTGGGAACAAGACTCTATCTGATAGGAGGCAGCACAGAGTAGTGGTTGGGAGCATAGACTCCAGAGCCAGGCTGCTGAGTCCGAATCTTCCCTCTGCCCTCACTGACTGTGTGACCTTGGGCAAGTGACTGAACCTCTTTGTGCCTCAGCTTCCTCATCTGGCAAACAGAGATAATCATTGCCTCTTACCTCATAGAGTTGTTGGAGGTTTACATGAGTTAATATCTCTGAAAAACTCTGGAAGAAAAGATATGTGTGTGATACTGGGATTCTACAAAGTTGTGCTAGTGCGTGAGGGCACCTGAGTTGTACGAACAAGCTGATACGAAGCTGATGAAGTGTCTTCCTGCTCCCACCCCCCATCCGACCCTGTTGTGCTCCCCAGGGCTCCACCCCAAACCTGCTCCCCATCCTCCTGGGTGATTGCATCATCTGGTGTTCTTACAACTGCCATCTATGTCCCACTGACTCCCCAAAATAGATCCCTCCCTCTCCCCTCTGCAGCCCCACATGTCAGCCTGGAGATGGAAGCCCCCTTGAAGTTACACAGGCACCTCCAGCTCATCATCCGCCCCCCACCCACACACGCACACTTGTTGCCCCTTCTTGGTCTTTCTTTCCTGCTGTAGCTCCACGGAAAGCCAGGCCCTGCCTTCATCTTTGAACCTCCGGGATAGAGAACAGGGCCTGACACGTAATGTTCACTGAATGGAGGGGGGAAATTCAGAGCCTTTGTTTTAAACACAAGCTGAGGGCTGGCCTGGTGGCTAGTGGTTAAGTTCACACGCTCTGCTTCGGCGGTCCAGGGTTCATGGGTTTGGATCCCGAGCATGGACCTATACACTACTCATCAAGCTATGCTGGGCCAGCGTCCCACATACAAAATAGAGGAGGATGGGCACAGATGTTAAATGAGGGACTGTCTTCCTCAGCAAAAAAGATGAAGATTGGCAACAGATGTTAGCTCAGGGCCAATCTTCCTCACCAAAAAATAAAAATAAAAAATAAATAAACACAAGCTGATACTTTCCCCTGGTTAACCAAAAAAACCAAATGGCTGTCTTCTCAACAAATCCTTCTACCCAGGATGGCTAGGTACCTGCACAGTCAGCCAGGTAAGGGACACCTAAGCTCAGCCCGACAGACACACTGCCCCTCGGGCCTTCGCCTCGGCTGGTCCCTCTGCCTGGAACTCTTGTCCTCCAGATCTCCTTCAAGTCTTTGCTCAGTGAGGCCTACCCTGACTGCCTTATTTAAAATTGCAGTCTGCCGGCACCCCCACCAGCACCCAGATATCCCTGATCTACTTTTCCTTTTTCTTCTATAGCATTTATCACCTGCTAACATATCATATGACTTATTTATTATGTTTATTGCTTTTCTCCCCCTGCTAGAATGGAAGCCCCACGAGGGCAGGGATGTTTCCTATTTTGTTCTCTGACGTATCCGCATCACTTGGAACGGTGCCTGGCACATACAGGTGCTTCATAAATATTTGCTGATTGATTGGCTGACCCTGTCCAGAAACTCCATCTCGTGTGTGACCTTGGGCAACTCTCTTCTCTTCTCACAGCCTCGACTGCCGTCGGTTGATGACGTGTTGGATATGAAGCTCTCTAAGGTTTGGCCTAACTTTGGGACACTGAGCTTCTAGGAATCGGGGGACTGTGACTCTGGAGGCGAAGGATGGCACGTCCACACTGCCTGGCTCCCCCCAGCACAGGCTGCTCCAGCTCAGGCTCCCGTCCCTACCCCACCCAGCCCTTTCTGCATGAAGAGCCCCCGTGAGGCTCATGTACGGTGCAGAGGGCTCACTGAAACCTCTCCACAGTCCTGTGCGGCAGGTGCCACGATGATGCTCATTTACAGGAGGGGAAGTTGGTGGTCTGAGAGGTTAAATGACTTGACCAGGGAAGCAGGATCCAAACCCAGGTCTCTCTGAGCCCATGGTTCCCAATCCTGGCTGCACATTAGAAGCACCAGGGAAGCTTTAAAAAAATATGGATCCCTGAGCCTCACCACTAGAAATTCTGGTTTAATTTGTTTGGGAGGGCCCTTCCAGCCCCTCTGGACAGCAGGCAGGAGCCTCTGGTAGTAAGAGGGCCGTCAGGGGTCTCCTCCCCTCCTGTCAATGACCAGCCAATGATCATGGAATATCAGCTATATAAGGGCCAAAGAGAAATGGAGAGAGACAGGGAGAGCAGAGATCACTGGGAATGATCTCATAGAGGAAGATGCAAGATGATCTCCATTTCACAGGTGGGTTGATGCTCAGAGAGGTTATACGACTTGCCCCTAGTCACACGTTGAGGAAGGAGCAGAACTGGGATTTGCCCTGAGGTCTGACTCGAGCTGGGCGAGGGGGCAAAGGGGACTGTGTGGTGGGTGCAGAAAACAGGGAAAGGAGAGTCTGGTACAACGGATGAAAAAAAATAGGGAGATAGATGGAAAACCAGTATGTTCCAATTTCCCAGCTCATGCACACGGGGTCACATTGCATGGGAGGCAGGGGGACAGAAAGACACGTGGAGTCAGAGACAAACTGGCTTCAAATATCGTCTAAGCTGGGGAACCTTGGACAAGCTACTCCTTCTGATTCTCAATTTCCTTGTCTGGAAAATGGAAAAATAATACCCACTTTCTGGGGTTTTGGAGAAGATTAAAAAGGAGACAACAAAAAATGGAAACAATCCAAATGTCCATCAACTGGTAAATGGATAAACTGCGGTCAGCCACACAACGGAATATGAGTCAGCAATAAAAAGTAGCAGACTACTGACCCATACAACATGGATGGATCCACTACTCATAC